TGGCTATCTAGATATGTAAACTTGAGTTCCTTGGCGCAAAATGATGGTGGGAAAGTGAACTTTAAAAGAGATTTACGAACGATCGGCTGTGTCTCAGTAATGATTTACTTGCAGATCAGGCAATAGTTGTTATGCGCCATCAATATCGAGTCGATCCTATCCTTAGGTGCTTTAGCTACTCACATGGACTGCCTTGACTGTCTTGCACGGGATGCCAGAACAGTTTGTGAGACTCGGCGCACTCATGTCTCGCGCCTTATCGCATACCCACATGTTTCCCCAGGGATTTGGCAACACGCAGGCATATGCAGTTGGGCAATGGGGCGTCTAAGCAGGTCTCGGAACAACCGCGTCCGGAACAAGGGCGTAATTCGTGATTTCACTTTCCGCTTCTGGTGTCATATCTCGAGGACTGCCAAGGTCGAAACATATCTCCCTTTCTATCCAGATATGGAAATCGGCTATGTCTCACTCTACTCCAGGAACTCCCCCTTGGCAAGCCTCAAGTATCTGTCCGAGCTTGCCGTATTTCATTATTGTCTTTTCTCTTTTGAGCACGAGTGTTAGACCTGTCTCAAGCTGATCTCATGAGGCAGAAGCTGGGTGACCCTTAGAGACTGCAGCCGATGCCGGACCTGCTCTGCTGAATTTTCTTGCTGATTCGCCGACTTGCGAGGTTGAGAAATTTTGACCAAAGTAGGGCATATGAATCGCCATACCAATCTACTAATTCGGCATGTTGTCTAGCCGCGTGAGTGGAACAGAGTTCCAAGTTCGGCTTGGTTACGCAGATCAGGTCCGAATCATCCGCTTGCACCTCACGCTGGTCGTTAGTCAGAAACAGACAGATTTCCTGGGTAAACATTGTCATTCAGTCCATACGTAACGGGCTACAAAATGTCTCAATCTTAGTCGTCGTGCCAAGGTTTCTGTGGCATAGATGGTTGTATATGACATTTGATATTCGCCAACACTAAGGACAACCTTGATCCAACACCTACCAGGAGCATTAGACTCCCGTTACGTTTCGGACAAAGTCTTCCTTCATCTTGCGTTTTTTTCTCCCTATCTAACAATGCAGGCTTACTTGCGCGATCCCTCAAGGATCAGTCGACATCAACCAGATATAAGTGGTCAATGTGCCAACGGAACTTGTAGGGGAGGCTCGCACGGTGGTGGCCGTAGAAAGTTGATCCTATGCTTCGACGGTACCGGTAATAAGTTTCGTGGAGATGACAGCGACAGCAATATTCTCAAAATTTTCCGCATGCTCGACAGCAACGCAAATGATCAATGTGAGATTTGAACATCATTCATTTAATCGTCTTCGGGATGGCGAGGCTGACAGAGGTTATAGACCACTACTATCAACGTGAGTGCTGCCACCTCTGCATTTACACTTCATGTCACTAAGGATACGTATTCCTACAGCCGGCATAGGGACATATGTTGTCTCAGAAAATTTAACGCATAATGGTTTCAGAGCCAAATGCAAGTCCTGGTACCAGATGGCCAAGGACTCTGCAGTCGGCTCGTCATTTGACCAGCACGTTGTGGGCGGCTACAGATTCTTGATGAGGTACTACTCGCCAGGAGACGACATTTACATGTTTGGCTTCTCTCGAGGTGCCTATGTTGCTAGGTTCCTGGCTGAGATGTTGGACTTTGTTGGTCTACTTGCCCATGGCAACGAGGAAATGGTCGCTTTCGCCTGGAACTCATTCTCACAATGGCAATGCAGAAGAACGAACTCAACACCGGAGGGCAAAGAAGACAGAGAGAAGATGTATCAGTTTCTCAAAGGCTTCAGAGAAACATTCTCGCGACCGATAAGACGAATCCGCTTTTTGGGATTGTTCGACACCGTGAACAGCGTGCCGCGCTTCGAAACGGCGTGGATGCAGCGGAGCAAGTTCCCGTACACTGCGCGAAGCTCTGCGAAAGTCATCAGGCATGCTGTCAGTATTGATGAACGACGCGCCAAATTCCGCCAAGATCTCATTTATCAAGAGCCCAAGAAGTCTCGGAGGAGAACTGCAGCCAAGCGCTTGATGGAGCACCATCACCCTTTGAACGAAAAAGTGCAGGAGTTCCAAGAAAAGTATCGTCCAGGTCGGCGATCAACACTTGCACCTGACGACGCTGTGGCGAAAGAAGACCGTGGTAGGCGCCGAGTGCATCCGCAAGAGGAAGACGCAGACCATCCGGCTCCTTTCCGTAGTCGCTCCAGGTCCAGATCTAGGGCAACCGAACGAACAGGCAACGCTTATACGGATCACGACGCCTCGTCTATCAACTCTAAGCCACCCATGGAAGATCTCACCTACGACTCGGATGACGACGAAGCTGATCAGGACGTTGATGAGGTATGGTTCTCCGGAGGGCATGGCGATATAGGCGGGGGATGGGACGCCGTTCCTGGCCAAAAGAATGCCAGTCACATACCCCTCGTGTGGATGGTGAGAGAAGCCATGCGAGCAGGGTTGACGTTTGATCTCGACCAGCTCGAGTACCTCGGCTGTGTTGAATCAGTAGCCGGAGAAGACACGCGAACTGCAAGACAGTCGACGGCTACTATGCCGAACGGAGCCATCGCAGTCCCGGAAATTCACGTCGATGCGCCTTCCCCTACTATCGACTTCCAGCCCCCATCGCCCACCGCTTCCGCGACAGAAAACGCGGCAAACTCGGGCACATCAACGCACACCTGCACGGCCTTGTCATTCAACGTGATGATGCAGACAGCCCACGAAGCCAAGATACACGACTCGCTTGACTTCAAATGTGGCATGCATCGTGCCAGTGTCTTCATGTGGCGGGTGATGGAGTATCTGCCCTTTAGAAGACTCGATCTTAGGCCAGATGGCAGTTGGAAACCAATCAGGTGGCCACTGCCAAGGGGAGAAGTCCGGGACGTTCCGGACAAAGTCAGAATTCATGGAAGCGTGATACGACGAATGGAACGCGACGAGAAGTATAGACCGGGAAACTTGATTGTGGGTGGAGGTGGGAGAGGTTGCCGAGTGGCACCGAAAAAGTACGGAATGGGGCACTGGAAGTGTGTCAAAGGCAGCGGTGATATTATTGACGAAATTTGGGAACGGGAGTGGGAGACTGAGCAAAAACATTTTTGAAAGTTGTAGCTATGTCCAGGTTGAAGTTGGAATCTGCCGACAAGAAGTAAAAAGGAAAAGAAATACACGCTGGATCAACGCTTGTAGCGCCCAAGACTGCTGCTCGAAACGCATTTGGGGGGATCTCTTTGACAGTCACGCCAGACATTTGGAAAAGTTATTCGGCCCAAGAGCGGCCTCATTGCAATGAGATCGACTACTTGACCTCAGGCCGTGGCGCACATCGATGAAGTGCCTCAAGCCCGGGGGAGAAGGACAAAGTAAGGAGTGACAGAGAGACGATAAAGTGAAGTAAATGACTGGTTCTTTTCTTTGCAAAACCCGTCGTTGTGTTTTGCCAGGATTGCAGAGAAAACACAACACACCTTTTGGTTTGTGTTCCTGGCTTCGTTTGGGCCGGGCCGGGCCGGACTTGGCGGGGTAGAGTTAGCCCGCTTAGAATGCTTGCGTAAGGCCTTTTCGAAACTGATTAGCAAGCAAGGCAAGTCGACTCGGTCGAGTTCGAAGATATGTTCAACGTTATTCTGCTCAGCGGCCGGTCGTCTTCCCTGCTGAATCTGGATCTGACTGCTGGTCTACCGTAAGAGTGTCATGGTTCTGCCGGGAATAGGCTACCTTTAGAGTTCCCGCCTGGTTGATCCACACAGACACACTCACATACACACGCGCATGGTTTTATGGTGGCTTTACAAGATTTGAGTGCTTCTCTTTGATAAGCACGCCATAGCATAGCTTTATGACGAATGTCGAACCCATCTCTTCATTTGCAGAGTGCGAGGTGTCTTCGTCCATTTAAGCTTCTGGAGCCGCTGTCTATATTCAAGTTCCGATTGGTTCTTGTCTTATTTGATATCAGATCTGCCATCTGAGGCTCGTGAAGTACTTGTATGTCCCATATCTTGAAGTGTATCTCTACATCGGTCTTTTCATTCCTTTACTGAACATATCTAGTCGACTGGAATCCTTTCACCTTGATGGATACTGTCCTACCAGGCTGCGACCGTTTGGATTTCTAAGCATCGACTCTCAGTGCCACTAGAACCAAGGATCTGCAACAGCTCGGATGCAACTAGCCCCGAAGCACATGCACAAGGACGGGAATGCCAGTGGCTCTCCCACTCGGCCCCCGCAGCCCGCTGCCGCGACTCGGGCTTCGTACTGCGGAGGATGGGTGAGGGAAGCCTGACCAAGTGAGACGAGGAAGAGGCATTTGTCAGCGGGCGCTCCGTTTCTGGGCCCCGCCGCCCTTTCTGCGCTGTTCGCTATGGCACTTCTCTGGCCCGAGTTCCGAAGCAAGGTAGCACCCCTCGGCCTGGGTATCCGTATACTGTGGTAAAGACCGGCCTTGTAAGTCGTTCACCACTCACGATGGGGGGCAGGTCATCAGCTAACTTTGCCTATCAGGTGGAAGACTGGGAAACAAGCCCCGGCATGGGCCGCGCGAGTGCCCACGCGCAAACGCAAGGGGCCGCAAATGGGCCAGAGTTTCAATAGCATTATACGAGGGCTGCAGAGTGAGATTGGTATGTGAGCATGACGGTTGCTGTGTTGAGTTCCCCGGTACTACAACACTCCAACCCACATCGACGCATTAGTCAAGCAGACCCGCCCGTCGAACTGGACAGAAACGCCCGATCACCAGCTACCTGCACCAGGCCAGGGGCTTTGGATCAGGTCCAAACGCTTCATGCTTCCACCGCTCTTTCGTGGGACTGCGTTCTGCTGTCAAGTGGATGGCTTGCTGAGGATGTATAAAGCTTCTGGCCCCTCACAGACCTAGTGACATTCTCGCAAGTCTTGAAGCACCACAAACGCAGCCCTTTACCAATCGTCGACATTAACATTCATCCACCAACAACCGCAAACATGGCCTACACTCTGTACGACGCCTCCGTCCCCCTCCTCCTTGCGGGTCTTAACTCGCTCCTTAACATCATCACCAAGGCCGAGGAGTACGCCAAGGAAAAGTCCATTGACGCCAAGGAGATTCTCGACTGGAAGCTGGCGGATGACATGCTGCCCTTCAGCTTCCAGTTCTTCGTCGCGGCCGACTGCGCCATCAAGATCGTCGCCCGCGTTCAGGGCACAGAGCCCGAGGCCCTGGGCAGGGAGTTCGCCAGCCTCGACGACCTGCGCCAGCGCGTCGAGCACACCATTGCCATCGTCAAGGCCGCCGACCCCAAGACATTCGAGGCTCGCACCGATGCCCTCGTGCCCCTTGGACTCGGCTTCGGCAAGGGCGAGGTGCAGATCAAGGCCCGCGACTACCTGGTCGCCTACGGAATGCCCAACTTCTTCTTCCACATTTCCACGGCCTATGGCATCCTCCGCGCCAAGGGCGTTCAGATCGGCAAGGGCGACTACCTCACTCCCTTTTCGGCTCCTATCACGCAGCAACAGTAAGGCGCAATGGGGCCCCACTCGATGAGTTCGGAGGGCTGGATGTCAAAAGAATCCGGCAATGATGAGGCGAGAGAAACATGATTGAATTGCCACAAGATGGTGTTCAAGGTACTCCGGAATCGGGCTGGAAATGGGCATGTCTTGGGGAAACAAAAAGTTGATGAATTGAACGAGCTTTATGACCATTCCTTTCACTTTGACACGTCACATGTGCAATCATTATTTGATGAAATTGATGAGCTTGAGCTTCATCTACCATACCTTTGCTATGTTTTTTGAGTCGAGTGAACCCCTCATTTCCATGGCGAAGGACATGTGTGCTGATTAGCTAAGGTGGCCGTTCACCAATGAGAATCCTCAATTCGAGCTTGCCAGTGCCCCGCCCCCACCATCGCTCGTCTCGTCGCGGGGCTGCAATCTTTTTCGACCCCTCCACGACGCGACCAGCTCTCATCTTCTCGCTCACTCGTCTGGTGTCTTGTATCATCTTACTCAGGCCTCACTTACACCACCAGTCGCTCTCACTCTCATCGACACCCTCACTCTCTTGCATACGCATACACCTGCCATCTCATCTCGTTCCGACACCTTGTATATGTCTCCTTCACCGCCGTCAACTCATATCACCGATTACTGTGACACAATCTCATCATCTTTCGGATTTCCGTAACATCTGGCACCGTAGGTATGGCAGAACTAAGCGAGGCTGAGGCTCTGGCCACCCCCGAGTTTTGGAATCAGCGTTATACCAAGTCGGACGGCTCACATCCGACCCACGAATGGTTCCGCACATTCGAAGCCCTCGAGCCGTTCTTTGAGAAGCATCTCTTTTCCCAGCGTCGCCCTGACACCTCCCCGCGTATTATGCACCTCGGATCCGGGGATAGTGTATGTATCTTGTGCCCCTCGCCTCCAAAGTCACTTTGCTTTCTCGCCCTGTTTATCACTTCCTCACGTTTCACCCTGGCTGCCACCTTTACTTCTCCTTCACTCAACACTCACACACGTTTGACCCCTGGCCCAAATCCACCACTCACCATTTCCACCATAGACCATCCCCGCAGACCTTTCGGCACGCGGTTACAAGAACCAGCTCTGCCTAGACTTTTCCACTGTCGTCGTCGACCTCATGAGACAACAACACGCTGACTTGGCCGGCATCGAGTGGAAATGGGCCGACGTCCGCGACATGCCCGATGCCGCGCCGACTGCGTCTGTCGACATCGCTTTTGATAAGGGTACCCTCGACGCCATGATCCATGGGAGTCCGTGGTCGCCTCCAGTCGACGTTCGTGAGAACACGGCCAAGTACCTCGGCGAGGTCCACCGCGCCCTCAAGGACGACGGGGTGTTTCTGTACATCACTTACAGACAGCCTCACTTCATGCGGCCGCTGTTAAATGCCGATGATCTTTGGGACATGGACATGGATGTCCTCTCTGGCGGGGAGAGTGCGTTTGATTACTATGGGTTCATACTGAGGAGGAAAAAGAAGAAAAACGACATATAGGTAGGTCTAGGGAAAAGACAGGAAGCATCATCTTCGTGTGCGGCGGCTCAAGTGATAGGTCAAACATATATGCTCACTTCTTCACATTAGCTTGATACTTGAGCCAAGACCTCTACCAAATCAGATACCCCTTTTCTTTTGCTTTTCAAACCCCCAGGACTTTGTTCGCCCTCTGAATCAAATCCCTCTCTCCATGCCCATCTCCAGCGCCGACCAATTTTTCCAATCCCATCGCCCGCCTCGCCTCCACCCCCTCGATGGCATCCTCTCCAGGCCGCCCCACGTGTTCGCTCTCCCCCTTTCCGCCGGGGAAATCCGGCCCTGGCAGCCCTTCAAGAAACGCCTCCCTCTGCCTCGCCAAGTACCCGACATTCAAATCCGTCGCCGGACACACAGGGATGTACATGACACTCGAGTCTCCCTGTCCCTGGTGAACCTTATCGACGGCGTGGATCTGGTCCGCGTGCCAAACGACAAAGTCCCCAGGCTTGATGCGCGGGATATGAACCATTGTCCCATCAAGTTGCAGATGCGGATGCAGCGCCTCACTGAGCTCCTGTCCGTGTCCCGGTGTTGCCCCTTGTAGCTCGCTACTCATCGCCTCGCCGCCCGTAAACGCCCAGTTCTCCTCTCGCAAGAACTCCTCGCCTTCTCCCGCGACGACCCCGCTGCCACTCGCAAATAATTCCCTACGCGGCTGGAAGAACGGCCGGAGGAGAAAGTAGGCGGTCGAGAGCTGCACCAACGGGTTCACCAACAAGGTCCCCTCCCTCGGTCCACAGTTGCTCAGGCTCAGCCAGCCCTGGAACATGCGGAACATGCTGCATGCGCCGGCACCATTGTACAAGTCTTGCACAGCTTCGACGCGGGCGCTGACGTCCCACGGGTCGTACTTCTCCCATTCGCCTCGGAAGACGGCATCGTAGGTCCCGGCCTTGCCGTACCCTTCGCGTTCCCATCTCTCCACAGACCCGCCGTCAATGTGTGGGCCGAGGGCGAACGTTGCGTCGCCGGGCTGACGGATGCGAAGGCGATCGGCGTAGGTCAGGGGTTGCAGAGAGATGGCGGTCGAGGGGGACTTGTTCCAGAGGGAGCTCATGAGGGTCGACTGGACTTTGAGCATATTGGGATGCGAGCGGGCTTTGATTTGTGGGTGAGACCAGTAGAGCTCGTAGACTTGAGGGTTGTCTGCAGGGAAAGCTTTTTTTATGAGGAATTGGTTAGTTATGAATTCATTTACAGGAAAGTAGACATGGCCGTGGATAGCTTACCTTTTGTGGATGGGTTCTTCCTGACATATTCCTCAACCTCCTCTTTGTATCCTCTAGCCTCCTTCTCATCAACGACACCACGAACGACAGCGGCGCCACGCTTGCGAATATCACCCTTTAGCCTCTCAATATCGCCCTCCAAGTCTTTGAATTCAACGCTCGGGATGATGGCGGGTCCCTTTTCCCGGATAACTTGATTCTCTTCCCGCAAAGCACGCAGAAGCCGGTTCCAGGACGCAGCGACGGCATCCTCGTGACCCGCGATGAGGTCCTCTTTAAGCACACGGAAGCGGTCCGGGAGTGGTTCACGGGCGGCGCCCGAAAGAGAGACGAAGACGGAAGAGATATCGCCTTCCTTTTTTGGCGCTGCGGCGCCCATCATGACTGTTCGGTATTGTGATGATGGAAGGCGGAGAGGGGTGCGTGTCCGACCCCGGGACAGCCTGTGGAGACGGAACATCTTGGTGGTCTGTTGATGATGTAGACGTAGTGGCTTCTTCCGGACGAGTCTCGAATTGGGGTCTTTATGAGTTTGCAGGAACCAAGGTAGCGAATCTCATATGGTGAGATTGCCCAGTTTGAGAGATAATGTAAGTATAGAAAACTAGAAGTGCTCTCACTTAAAACTTGGGTCAATATGTTGTTCGTCAAACATTAATCCCGTCAACCTCGCCGATGATGATGATGCCTTCGAGAATCATCAGCAAAAGCAGGTCCGATTGGCCTCTTATACCAGATGAGGAGGCCCAATGCCATCACTCATGTCGTGGCATCGACCTCGACGTGGTCGGCCTTCTGAACTTGGCAACGCCGCAAGACCAAGTTAATAAATCGAGAAAAAGACCGTGTAATTAGCTTGCATTCCCATCCGTTGACCACACCCCGGATCCCCCGCGTTTGAGGCGGACATCCATAACGAGCAAGATCAATGCGGAGCCCCGCTCTGCCCCGCTCCAGTCGGTCTTGGAGGTGCAGAATGACATGTATCGTCCCGTTGTGCTCTCTGCGCGTGACCAACGGGATTTCGAAATTGCATCCAGTAAGCTAAGGTGGGTGGTTAGACTTGCAAGTGAAGGCGGAGGGAACCCCGCAAACAGTGCGGGACTGGGGCGGAGAGTCGGAGGAGCCCCACGCTAAATGGCGAGTCCGAAGCCACAGCCCCGACACACACGAGAAGCCAAACATTGGCCTCTGTTGAACTCTTCTTCGAGATCTTTATCTTTTTGCAGTTTGTTGATCAGACCGTCAGCCACACAACACCCTACAACTAGGCGCGATGGAATATAGATGACATAAGGGTGTTCTGTAAGGCAAGGCTGACAAACAACGCCAGACAGAGAGGCTTTGGTATTAGACTGTTGTACCCAAAAGGCGGCCTGTCCGCAAAACTCCTCCAGATCCCTAGCAAAGGCCGTTCGTCGCTGAAATTACAAATGCTGAGAAGAATGGAAAAACAAAAACAAAAGAGACATTGAGCCACACATTCCGGCTCTGCTATTGGTACAAGGGGTTGAGCGAATACAAATGAAACCTCCGCAACGCAATCCCAGCCAGCTCTACTTTTTCAGCTGTCCCCCAACTGTCCGTTGGCCCTGCGTATGCGGTTCACCTCCGTCCTTAAATCACGGTTTTCTGTTTCGAGTCCGCCCAGCCGCTGTCTTGCCGCATTACGGTCCTGCGAGCGGCCTTCGCGCTCAGCCTTGAGCTTGTTCTCGAGGTCGCGGAGCTTGAAAATCCACCGGTTGTCTGCTGGGTCCCTCTCCGCCAACGTGGCTTCAAAAGGGTTGTGATTGGTTGACCCAGGCGTCGTCACTGTATGACTGGAAACGCTCCGTGTCATCGTCGACGTTCTCTCGCCCTTGCGAGGCTTCCTCTCTCGCTCTCTCGGTCCTGTGGGAATGGACGGCGACGGGCTTCCACTGCCGGGCTCAGTGATAACCGCGCTGGGGTCGTTGGTTGCTGAATAGGCAGCCCGACTCCTGACGTCCTGCGCGGTTCGTAGTGTTGCGTTCTCAACCTTGAGTTGACGGTAGGCGTCCTCGAGGCGCTCCATTCTAGCCTGCTCATAGGACCCGAGGGATCCCGATGCTATGCTGTTGCGTACAATCGTCTCCAGCCGCTCCAGCTTCTTAGTCCGGATCTCGAGGTTGTTCTCGAGGCTCTGATACTCGCGCCATAAGTCCCGTTCCACGCCCTTGACGCGAGACGAGAACCCACCAACCATGGTTTCGATCATCTTGATAGCGCCCAGCAAGTTTTTGCTGAAGCCGGGCAGCATAGTAGCCACAGCCTCCAGAGAAGGCAGCGCGCGCCCATTGATGAGACTATTGTCGTGCGCCCAGTCAGTGCCACAAAGGGCCGAAAGTCGGGTCCACAGTACAAGCAGCAAGTTGTTGCGCTCAGTGAGCTGGTCTCGGAACGTCGCCTCGAGATGCGAAATCTTCTTCTTGTCCTGGGTCCGCGAGGATTCGAGCTCCGAGATGCGTAGGTCCTGTGTGCTAACAGTTCTCGACACATGCAAGTGTGTCTTCTGAAATGTCTCGAACTGGTTCTTCGTCGTCCGGTGCGCCTGTCTCTCCTTTTCGAGCTCTCCCCCAAGTTTGCGAGACTCCAGGCCGTGTGACTCAAGCAAAGCGTCGCGCTGCTTGATGATACGATCCTTCTCGACGAGCGATGCCTTGGTGGTGTCCAGCTCGCGAACGGTGTTCTCCAACTCGCGCTGAAGTTTTGCAATCGACTATGTCTGTTAGTGCCTGTGTCTCTTATGGGGCTTGTTGCCTAGCCTACCTTGAGAAGGCTGGATCGTGTCCCGTTAAGATCGCCCAGTGCCTCTCTAAGATTGTTCTCCAACTCCATGAGCCGCTCCTTCCATTCGGTCGCCTCAACTTCGCGAGAGGTGAGACTCTTACGCAACCTCCGGGCTTCGTCTTTGGCCGCCGACATCTCGCGGTTAAGCTCGTTGACGAACTGCGTCACCTCTTCCTTCTCCTGATTGGAAACCATCTCGTGTTGGCGACGCTCAGTAACAAGACGCTGCTCTAGCTCCTTGATCCTGTCGCGTTCGTCGCGCAAGCTCTGCTCGGTATTAGCGAGAGCCGCCTCGAGATCGCCGATGCGGATCTTGTCGCCTTCCTGCTCCTCACGCAAGAAAGCAATTTCACCCTGGCTGGATTCTTGTTGTACGCTGAGCCGCTGAGCCTTGTCGTTGGACTCGAGCAGCTTGGATTCGAGCTCCTCTGACTCCTTGTTGGCTTCTGCGAGTTCTTGCTCTAGTTGCTTGATCCTGCCAATCTTGGCTGCTGTCTCGTCCTCCAATCCCAGTAGCGCTTCGCTCATCTTGCGCATTTCCTCCTGCAGGGCATCGAAGTTTTCTGTGCGGTCATTGAGCTCAAACTGCAGCCTTTGTATCTCGTCGTTTCGTTGGTCGGCCTCGCCCTCCAAAGCATCGATTTCTTCCTGGGCTTCTTTCCGCAACGATTCGAATTCCGTCTCCATATCCGCCTGCTCTCTGAGTGCTTCGTCCCTCTCGGCCTGCAAAGCCACGAGGTCGTTCATGGCATTGTCGAGATCTTCCTGGAGTGTGGCAGCGATTTCCTCAGCTTGGCCCTTACCTTCGACTGCTGTCTCAAAGTCTGCCATGCATCCCTCGAGCTCCCGTTGAAGCTCTTGGTTCTGTAATTTGATCTCGCTAATCTTGTCGCGCGTTTCGGCGAGTTTGTTCTCCAACTC